TGATTATTTCTAGAATTTATTTTATTCTAATAAAGTTTTAGAACTGACGCAGGAATAAGCTAATACTTTAAAAAAAAAATTATTCTATAGGATATTTTTAGATTACAAAACCCCTTTTATTGATTCCTTAACAATATACAAAAAAGTTTTATATCTTTTTATTAATAAAGTCTTATTACTTTCTTTTTAAACAACTTGAAGGATAATTTTAAGGATTTTTTTTAACTCCTATTTTTTGTTTGTATTTCTTTTCAAACAAAAATTTGATTTTCAATAATAAAAAATCAATAAATACCTTTTTTTCCTATGGCAAAAAAGTTCTAAAAGAAAGAAAAACTAATAGTAAAGTAAGAAAAGTCTATCACCTAAAGTAAAAGTACAACTAGAGGTCTTATATAGTGGATAAATAAGCAAACAAAAGTCTAAACTATAAAACTTTTCTCTCTATTATTTCTATCTTCTTATAATTGCTTATTTTTTGAAGTTTTTGTAAAATATTTTCTATTTTAGCTTGATTCTAAATTTTGAAGTATCAAAAATCAATATAGTTTTTGATAAAAATAATTGGACAATATGAAACATATTAGTAGTAGAATATAAACAAGCTTCTATTAGTTATATTATGTGTTCCAATGACTTTATTGATAAAAGAAAAAGAAATTATTGATACAGACTTCTCTACTTCTTCAAATAAAGTATAACTGAAGTAAAGAAATTATAAGATTATTAAGATGGGTACGAAATTTCTTAGATAGTGAAAAAATGATTATTTGTTTAAACTGAGATCTTCAACTTCTTATTATTTTGATTGGGCAAAGTATACAAAAGAGATTATTTTCTTATTCTTAAGCTGTAAGACCAAAAAGCAGAGGAATATAAAATACTATTCTTCTCTAGAATTAAGAATGTATTTTCTTAGACATTATGTAATAATATTATAATAAAGATAAACATTAATAAAATTTCTTTAACTAGGCATGACTATTAAAAGATATCAGAAGTTATATAACAAGATTAAAAGTTACATAAAAATCTAGGATCTATCATTAGTCATTTTGTTTTACATAAATAAATATAAAATCAAGACTAAAAGAAAAAAAGCATTGAACAAGATATTGGATTCAAGTAGGTGATAAGTACTTCAGCTAGTTACAAGAAAATAATCAAGATTACAGAGGGATAAGTTTTTCAAATAGTCTGGAAGAAGAAGAATATTCCAGAAGGGTTGATTTTTAATGAGAAGAGATTTATAGTAAAGATTCTTAGGAAAACATGAAATGCTTTTATTTTTTACTTTTTATTTTTGTTTTTATATAAACATAATTGTGTATTTTTAGATATACTCTTTCTTTTATTTACCCTTTTCTTTTATAGTTTTTCTTGAAATTAATTCCTTGAAGAATAATAAGCAGTGATAACCTGCAGGCAATGATGGGTAAGTTAGGATGGTCTTTATCCAAAACTTAGTTTAGAGTGAAATACAGTATTGTTCCCAAGGTTGCACTTAGAGGCTGAAGCTCTTTTGAAAATTGAAAGTCATTGATGAGTGTGTCAGTACAAGTTTTTTAGTTTAGCTATGATAAAATTGCCCTATGTATTTTTATCAGTTTTCATATTGATTAATAAACACACAATACTGGCCTAACCACGGGTTTAAAAAAAAAAAAAAAAAAAAAAAACCCCCATAATATCAATGAATTTTTACTGAAATTCAATAAATTTTTTACAACTTATTTAACTTTATTATAAAAAATCTATTTATATAACATAAAAATTAATTTTAATGATAAAAGAAGAGTTCCATATCTAATTATAATTTTCATGTCATCACAAGAATTTCAATTAATTTTTACTTGCAGTTATATTATATAAGAAAAATATTTTTTTATTGAATTTTATTTTTGCATATTAAATAAAAATTTTTTTGCACATACAGTAAGCCAAATTGGGTAGTCACAAACTACGTACTTGCTAAAACTATAATCGTAGATGTCACAAAAAATTTTTCGTTGCATGGGATAATAAAGGTTTTTTTACATTTAACAAAAATTTCATTGCGCGTATTATGGTAAAGAAGTTTAACTTATAAGACTAATTTTATTAATAAAATAATAAGTTTAATGTATAAAATGTATGATGAATACTTTGGATTAATTGGAGGCATCGTGTATGGAGAATGATAATAACCATGGTAGTATATTAAAGTATGTATATATTAATGGTTTTATACTTGGTTTTTGTATGTTACCATCTAAAAACATTGATACAGCTTGAAATATCACGACGATTCTTAAAGATCAAAACCCTCCGACAAGCAAGTTACAAATCGTCGGCTTCCTTTTACTTTGACATGTTTAAAGTCAAAAGAAGTAATTTGAAAATTTGCGCGGCCTTCAAGCGGGTGATTATACACCGTAGTTTTGATCTGATCGTACAAAAGATATAAATAAAATAAAAAAATTGCTAAAAATAATAATATTATAAAAATATAAAATAAAATAACAAATAACGATAATCACTATTTATGCAATCTACGGCAAACAACTTCTAAATTCAAAGTGCGGTATTTGGAATTGAGAACATTGTTAGGTGACGTCAAATGACCAATATGCAAAAGAGGAAGGAGATCAAGCACCCTGTTTAATGGGCAGTTGATTCTATTTTTAAAACTACTTGTCCCCGTGACTTCATTTAAAAGTATAGCCGATGCATCGTGCTATACCAAATTAAAGTTATCGACTTGCAATCTCACCCGACTGAACAGATATCAGATCATTCGCGCATCGATGAATTCGCCAATCCGCGACCATGAAGATTCGTTCATTCGGTTATGCGGCGCATCGAACGTAGGAGCTGTTAGCCGCAACGCCACTTATCAAAATACTATCATTGAAACAAAGTAAGATTTTCGTTCGGCTTAGACAATCGATCTTATTTTATTTATTGTAGTGGGAAGAAAGAAAGAAACCTGGGCAATAAATGTTTTGACATGCCACTTCCCTAATATAATATACGGTCCACGAAAGGATGTACCGTATATGCAGCATTTTATTTCTGAATGTGAATTTGTTTCGATGAACGCTTATTCGGTTTAGTGCACAGCAATGGTAACAATCGGTTGAGTATATCGAAATTTGTATTTTTAAATAAAATAAACAAATAAATAAATGTTTAGAAATCACCCATTCGGTTTGCATGACATAAGCTCTTATCTTGATGTTAGATGGGTCCTGCTAAATCCGACAATAGTTTTGACTCCAGAGGTTTGTAATTAATTCTTAAATGGTTAGACGAATCAATTCACTTCTCAATCCGGTATCATTGTTCTCGTTTCCATCGGAGATGTGCTCCTTCTTTGCGTCGAGGTTTACCTTATCTTCAGCTGACGGTGTCAGTGCACTTGAGTGACAACTGCCACGATCAAGCCAAAATGCAAAACGATCAGATCGGAAAGAGATGCACTGTGAACTTGGGAAATACCTGGGAGACTTATTCAAAATGCACGCCTTTACCATAAAAAATACAATAAGTATGAGAATAATAATCTGTATGCACGCTACATTTTAGCATGTCGACCCTTATTGTTTTGTTGAAACGGGTTACTTTCAAAACAATGTTTTTGAGGTAACCCTTCAAACATCATCGCACGCCCCAGGATCGACTGCCTGGATCAATTATTCCGAGAGAACTCGCCACTTCAAATGGCAGGAATCAACAATGTGTTAAATCGACTTGGCAAAAGGTCTCGGGTATACCGTTTTTTGGGCAACCCTTGGAATTAAGAATCACCGATTGGGACGACGATATATCACATTATTTACAAATTCAAATGCAATGCGTATTTTTTTAAACGTGATCTTTATTAGAAAGAGCTTATTTCCAATTTACTTTTTTATTTTTTTTTCAAAGATATGTACAGGAAAAAAAAAGAGGTGCTTAATTTCTTACTTAGAAAGGGTACTATACAACACAACGAAATGTTTTTTTTTTTGGTTTTTTTTTTTTTTGGAAATAAAAAAGATATAATAATAAACAAACAAACAAAAAAAAAAAATATTCGGTTAAAAACTATGAACAAATTTGGTATATACAAAAACAAAGTTGGATAGTAATAAAAAAAAAAAGAAGAAGAAATAGGAGCAAAAAAGAAAAGAAAAGAAGAAAATTTTTAAAAAAAATAAAAAAAAATAAAAAAAATAAAAAAAAAATAAAATTTGTTTTCCATCGTGGAAAGCAGAATTCGAAATTACGTTTTTTAATGATTTCTTCCGATTATAAATTTGTTCGAAAATGATTGTACGCACTTTCGTTTGTGACAAAGTTGCTCGGGGAGAAATTGGTTTGTTTCTTCCATTTCCAAAAAGAAAAAAAGAGAGGAATCGTTCGTTCACGTTGGAATAATCCAAGAGAGGAAGTCTTTCGGATGTTCGAAGCGAGAATAATTGAAATTCGAAATTTACGAGTAACCAGAGGAAGTTGGGTTCCCGTGATCAGAGATTCGTCGAATTTGATAAATTTCCTAAGCGATATAATAATAATTTACTTAAAAATAAAGGTTTTTTTTTCTTCCATTCTATATAGTATAATTAACGGGAAATAGATGTTTTTGCCAGCCATTATGATATATAAACGTAAGTAGATCCTTAGATTTGTTGGAGGTAATTCTTAAAATAAAATAAATGTATGTACTTGAAGGAAAAATCTTTTTCCTTCCCCTTTTCGAAAAAACGATGCACGTTTTTCGTGCATTTTTGCGTTTTTTTTTTTAAAAAAAAAATTTTTTTTTGAAAAATAATAAAGATAAAACGACGGCGAATCGAAAGGCATGATTAAAAAAAAAAAGTCGGTAAAAACGAGTTTGAGGAATAACTTTTATCGAATATTTTATCGAATCGTTAATACAACACTCTTTCGTGTTGCTCATAATAAAATGTAAAAAGGTTTCTTTCTTTTTTTTTAAATACTTTGGCGCTGGTACAATACAATCTCAAAATTGGATATTAGATGGGATGGGTGGTGGGCACCCGGACACCGTTGACCAGCATTTCGTCGAATTTTACCATTTGAATCACCATGTCCTCGACCTCTTCTCGGGAACCAAGGGGATCATCGATTTTCTCGTCGTAATCATAAGTCTCATATTCGGGGAAAGAGATGTACGAGGATTCGGCAAAGGTGATGGACGACGGAGAGGCACGTGGTTTTTCGAGTGAGGTCGGAGAGGTCGAGGGAGAGGTTAACAACTGCATGGTTGCATGAATGAGTATGTTGAGGGTATTCCTTCTCCTGTGCCTGGAGGGTTGACTCGTGCAAGGGGCGTTCAGAGAGGAGTGGTGGTTGAAAGCGTTTTCATCGTCGGAGGATTCACTGTTGACGATGGAAGCTTTGGCACAAGAGGATTGATCTGCAAAGGCGGTCATTATGGTCGAAGAGGTGGGTTGTTGGGAGGAAAGAAAAAAAGGAATTGATCGAGCTCAATTGATAAAATTACGCTCTCAAGTATTTAAGGAGCATGTGGCAAAGAAAGAAACGAAAATTTTAAAAGGACGTAATTTTTTTTCGGAGGTCTATATATACAAAAATTTTCGGGGGACTCGCTATTAAATACTTTTTTTTTTTTGTATTGTTTATATGGATAAAAATAGGTGTCCTACAATTTATTGTTTGTTTAAAGTACGACTTATCATATGCCGATTTTTTCAATGTATCATATATTTCCGACAATATAAGGTGAGTCGACTTGAATGCAATAGAGGAATCGTAAGATTTTCTAAAAAAGATATCTGTATTATGAACGTGATGCAGCCACAGAAGCAATGAGAGTGGTCATCAACTGGGAAGGAAAAAAGTATAAATGTGGGATCGGGGTTTTTCGCTAGGGGGACGATTGGGTCATGAAGTAACGATGAATGCGAACACCGTGTTCATCCAATAACGGGATCGTTATTTTAGGCGAAAAAAAAAAAGGCTTAATTAACGAGTCCACGGAGATCCGAATGGAGACTGGGGTTGATCTCACCAATGCTCAAAAGCTTCGACTGTGAGATTTGGGCTTTTATAAGGAATCGAATTATCGATAATATATGCCACATGTGTGTATTGTAAATACAATATACTGTATATCGGTACGTAACCTAATTTATGTAATCATCAAATAAAGCATTGCTCTGTTGTTTTTTTCCTTTCAATGGTTTTTTTCGATACCTATCTCATACCTCTGGCTCATAAATATCATCGTCCTCCGTCAAAAAATTAATGTCATTTGATGATACATAAAAAAAAAAAAAAAAAAAAAAAAAAAAAAAAAAAAAAAAATTAAAAAAAAAAAAAAAAAAAAAAAAAAAAAAAAATAAAAAAAATTAAAAAAAAAAACCAAAAAATTAAAAAAAAAAAAAAAAAAATTTTAATAAAAAAACACCA